CCTATTAAATTATTTAAATTCATAATTAACTTAATCTATAACTATAAGCTAACAACGTAAAAATAATTTCATCAAGGTAGTTAACATAAAAAACCCATTTAACAAAAAATCTAACAGCCATTCATGATTTTAAAAATCTCAGTAAATTAGGAATAAAATATATGTTCCCAACTTGATTAAAAGAACCTAAAAAGAAAAAAAAATTACTATCACCCTGAAGTTTGGGCATGGCAAGGAGGTCTGCTATCACTATTGCTAGTAAACATTGTAGTACAATAAGCACATTCTTACATAGAACAAAAAGAGAAGAAAAAGAAATAAAAAGAATATATTAAATAGAAATAAATAAATAAAACATTTGTATTTGAACACGATATGAATGTATAAGGTCATATCATCTACTAAAAATCTGAAATAATAACAAAATATAGCAAGATCACAGCATACAAGTACAACTTAAACAAAAGGCAATTGTTTCCCTATGATCAGCACTAACAATGAAAACTTTAATGTAACATTTATAATACTCTCCAGAAAATAAATAATTAGTTATAAATCTACTAAATTAGATATAAGTTCTATGTGCAGACAATTGCAGAAATTATGGTAGAATTCAAAGAACATCTATCATAGGAGAGATAGTGTGTGTTATAGATTGGAAGACAAATTATTGTTAATATGTTAATTCTTTCAATTTGATCTATAGATTCTATGCAATTCCTATCAAAATCCCAGCAAGTTACCTGATAGATATAAACGAATTGGCTCTAAAGTTCAAAAGGAAAAGCAAAAATTCTGAAATAACCAAACCAACACTGAAGAACAAAGTTGGAGTACTCACACTCAAGATCTCAAGACTTTCATAAAGCAACAGTAATCAAGACAGCATGATTTTGCAAAAGAATAGACACAGGGAAACATGGAACTGAATAGAGAGTCCAGAAATAAATCCACACAAATATAAAAGGTCAAAGCAATTCAGTGGAGAATGGAGATTGTCTTTCCAACAAAGTATGCTGGAACAATTGAATGTTCATCAGCAAAAAAAGTGCTTAACACACACAATATAACTTTCATAAAAATTAGCTCCAAATGAATTTGCCTCCATAAAATGGAATGATATTCAGTGATAAAAGACAATGAGCTATAAATAATTAAACCTAGAAATGAACTATTATTACTGATACACACAAAAACATGAATGTCTTTAATTTATATGAATAAGTGAAAGAGTCTGCATGAAAAGGCTGCACACTGTCTGATTCCATTTGTATGGTAGTCTGGAAAAGGTAAAACTATGAAGACACTACATGTACCAGTGGTTGGCAGGAGGCGGGGAGGGAGCCCTTGAGCACAGGCGATATTTTTTAAAGCAGTAAAACAATTATAGATGGGACTGTGATGGTAGATGCACAACACTATGTGCTTGTCAAAATCTATAGAACTTTACAGCATGAAAAGTAAACCTTACTGTATGCAAATTAAAAATATATAGTTTTAGAGGCTAGAGGATTGAATGGTTGAATGCAGAATGTGGCAATATAATCTGTTCAGCAACAGGATGAAACAAGCTCACTGAAGCTAGTAGAGTGGAAAGGTTGTGACCTAAGTGACTTTGGAAATGAGTAGAGTCAATAAGACTAAAGGAAAACAACTCTGATCAAGCTGTTTTGCACGAGGGCATGAGTTCATAATTCTGATGTTCTGTATATACGTTGCTGAAATCAAACAATTACATCAATGAAAAGCAGACATTGGGAAGCAGGTTTCTTAGTTTTGGAGTAAGAGTGTACACGTAAGTGGGAGAGAGACGGCTATACTTAATGATGTAGTGTGATCCAGGTGGTAATGTATTAGAATTGGAGACGTTAGCACGAACAAATTTTTGTTTAATAAAGTTACAGATGGTTACATATAGAAGTATGTTTGTATAGAGGTTGGTGTACAGCGTATTTTCTTGCTCTGTTATCTGAGAGGACCTAGAATCACAAATACCTCAGTAGCAAGGAGGACACTTAACATCTAGACCTTTGTCTGTAATACAAATTTTCAATAAAAGGATGCAAAGATTTTATGAGGAATGGCTGATTCTACAAGCAGGGCAGGAAATATACAAGTTGAATCTAGAACTTGTAGTGGCAGATAGTGAGAAAGTGCTCAAGACATATAAGCAAATAAACTGAAAACAAAATTAAGCAGCAATGGGAATATGTATAAGGCACACTTACCAAATAAAATAGCTTTATAAATAAAGTAGTATTGGATTATGAAAAAGTATACAATACATATCTGAGTCCATATTCAAACAAATGATTGAATAAATAAATGGAAAATAGTGAATTTTCTCACTCTTCCTATGTACATCTCTACGAATCAATCCTGTTGAAGTATTGTGACAGTTATTACTTAAAAATAGTTGCATGGTTCTCTTGATGCGATGTGTGGTGAGTGTTAATGTATAATCAACCAAATCCATAATACAAATATTTTGATATTCATGTTATGTGTTAAGATCTCTATGATTATCAGTTTTATGTAATCAATATGTACATGGTTTAATGAAATTCATGTAATTCTAATGCAACTTAAGAGTCAAGAAGTTTTAGAAGAAACTTAGTTAATACCAAGAACAACAAGTTAATTTTACCAAGAGATTAGAAGAGAGGAAGGCTAAATTGTTGCTCCATATGACATTTCCAGTTAGGGATAGAATTTGGTACAAAAGCAATTTTATATTATTTCAAGTGTATCATTGTTTCACTCTTATGTGTTGATGGAATACTTCTTTGAGAACAATTAAAGGTTGCATTTTATAAATATGTCAGTGACATACATGTGTTAAATATATAAGTACATATTTCTGTGAAAGTAAACATTCAATGTAATTATGAAACTATAGCATAACCATCGTTAATGACCAAAATTTCCCATGTAAGTTCTAAACATTTTTATATTGCTTAATGAAGACCAGTGGCTGTGTTATTATAAATAAGGATTCCAAAAAATTACGTGTTGAAATATTAATTTTAGTGCTTTTGTAGTGTAAAAAATATCTCATACTTTCAATTTATAAGCACCAAAGACCTCTTTTCAACAAATCACTCTTATGGTTTCCCCTTGGAGCTGAAATTATTCCTATTCAAGATTTTATTTTCCTCATGTTTATTTGTTTGGTTGCTTGTTGCAGATCAAATAATTTTTAAAATTCTGTTAAAATCTGTGTGCTTGATAGGGGCTGAATTGGCTAGCCCTCAAATTCATATTTTGAAGTCCAAACCACCAGTACTTCATAATTGAAGTAAAAAGAGGTTCTGTGAATAGGCTCAGTATGACTGGTGTTACTAAAAGAAGAGGAATGCCATGAAGCAGAGAGAAGATGGCCATGTACAAGCCAAAGGGAGCAGGCCTTAGAAGAAACCAACTCTTTGAACTCCTTGATCTTGGACTTCTTCCCTCCAGAACTAGGAGGAAATAAAGTTCTGTTGTTTAAGCCACCCAGTCTGTGATACTTTGTTATGGCAGCCCTAGCAAAATAATGCAGCGGTGCAGCAAAAATAAAAGATGGGGGCACCTAAAAAAGCTTGTTAGTTTGGAGAAAAGACCCACCAATTTTATGTTTTTGCTTAGTATATCATTCCTGTGGCTTACCATGACCTGCCCCTCACAAGTTTTCTCCATGTCACCATTTTTCTGCTGTATCCCTGTGTGCAGCAGCAGTTAGATTCTCTCACAAGATGCAAAATGCAGTAATTCCTGGTAAGAACTAGTTTGTCAGCCCTAGTGATCTTGCAGTTCAACCTCCTGGAAAGGCATATGCATCAAATCATGTTGCAAGAAGAAATCCCGAAGTTGCTTTAATTTTTTCTCTAGAATAGTTATCATATCACCAGTTTTTTAAAAATAAATATTTTCCAAAGCATATTATACTGCAAATTATTAGGCTACATGAGTATTCTAATGCAGTTCCCAGGGGTGAGACAAGGTAATGAGGTGGTGAGGGTATGGAAATGAGGTCAACAATTATTCCTAATAGAGACAAGAAGGCAAGTATTAGACACCAAAACAAAGGGATGGGAAATGCAGATTCAAATGGCCAAATTGCCACGACATAATTATTAGTTATATATTTTGAAGTAATTACTTAGTAAAGAATAGGACTGAATATAAGCTGCCTGAATTATCTACTTTTCTATTTTTTCCCCGTGTGTGAATTTTTATTTTCACAACCTTACAAATATAAATATATTCATAAACATTTCATAAATATAGCTAGATATGATGGATAGATCAGGATGGATCTATAAAATTTTTTCCTATATATAGTTTCAATACTTCTGTAGTCACTGGTATACTTTAAATATTAAGAAAAAATACTCTTACTTGATAGTTATCTGGTTTGTTAAGTACATTTTTAACTAGTGCACATAGATCATTTGAAAATAGTGTATGCGTATAGTTTGTCTGAATGCTTTAAAATTTAATATTTCTTAGAAATCTGTATCAAATTAAACAGTAAACGTTCTTTACAAAATAGTTGTAGGGATAATTTATATTGAAATTATTGCAGATCATAGTGTAACGAAGCAATTCGGAGCCTCAATATAATAACATACTCACAAATTTGAAATCCATGTTAATACAATAACTAAATAAACTGTCCGGCTTTTCGCTTGTGTTTATTTTAGGAGTTAGCTATTGGTTTGAGTTTTCTGAAGTCCCTGATATTTTTTGTTTCGTGTTGTATAATAAATACTTTTTAGGAATGCTATAATTCCATCCTGTATTATTTGATATGTATTTTATTTTATTTAGTCACCACATAATCACTAGCTTATAAGAAATTCTGAGAAGCTATATAATAAATTTATTTTTCATGTTTAAATTAATGGTGCTTCCCCCCAAAAAAAATTTTTTTCATAAAAACACAACTTAGAGTTTTATCTATGAATGAAGACTTCAATGGTCACTTGTTAAAACCAACTTTCCACACACCACCAGCACAGTATTAAAACAAAACCAATGTTTATTTTAATGTGGAGTTTTAGCCCTGAGGCCTCTCTTTATAAAGAGGGATTTTTTAAAATTTCATTTCTTAAAAGTTTATTGTTTTGATAAAAAGTAACATTTTAATGAATAGCTTAATATGAAGTAATGGTAAGATCAAACATTGCTTTTAAAATTCAGAACTTACATATTGAATTTAACATCACATATATTTCAATTTTCTGAAAGGGTGAGGAAAACAAATGTGTTTCGGCATACAGTTTTAAAAATTTTTTAATTCTAAGAAGATGGAGTTCGGAAAGTATGCTTTTTTTTCTCAAAAGGAATTAGAAGTCAGCATGTTGCTATTGCTCCTTGGCATATGAAGACGCTGTCTTTGTTTTATGTCCTCTGTGTCTCTGAGTCCTGCGATGTCATCACAGCGGAGTGTACTGTACACCACTTTAAATGATAAGAGTTTCAATAGGCACTTTAGTGGAATTAAGAAAAATCTAACACTCTTCCACCGTGATGCCACCTAGCTATCTTCATTCTAGGTTGTCATGTCAGTAAATTGTGTTTAATAGGCCTGAGCTTGTCTCAGTGTGTTTCCAAAACAACAAAACCAAACCAAGCAAGTACATATAATAGGATTTATCTTGTGTTGGCAGAATAAACCAAAACTGACAATATGATAAATATAGCAACTTGCTAGAAACCAGATACTCAAAGACATCTTGTCCTATAAAGCTGTGGGGTGTGTGTGTGTGTGTGTCTGTGTGTGTGTGTGTGTGATTTCTTTTTTTTTTTCTTAAATTTCTCCTGTTGATATAGTCTTTGCTTCTCCCCTAAGTGACTTTATCAGGATTATAACTCTCTTCTTCGCCAAACATGTCTGCCAAGACTTTAAAGCGGGGGCCCCAGTCTGTCAGATAGTCATAGTCCTGGTCAGCTTCCGAGGTGAGAGAGTCTATGGAGCTGAGGGAGTCTGCGACTGATCCGTTTCCCTCGTAGGCATATGTTGCCAACGAATCATATGGCGGGGCGGTTGGGTCCACATCATTTTCCTGCAGCCTTTGATGAATGAAATCCCTTATGTCTGTGTTATCTTCCACTGCCGGTCTCTGCCGAGGTAAACAGAGGGAGTCTGGCTTTATGTCCCTGCGGATTTTGTTATCTTCAATCACTTTTGGGTTTCTCAGAGCACCAATGTCGAAAGCCTGGGTGTCCTCCTCCCCGCCTCCTTCGTCGTCATAATGGATAACGTTGTCTCTGATGTCTTCTTTAGAGGTCATCAGGGTGTCTTTCTTCTTCTGCCTTCGCAGAGCGACATACAGCACCACTATGACTACAAGACAAAACATTGAAAGTTGAGAATATGTCAGTTCATCGCCTCATAAAAATAAAATTGATCAGGGCTGACTGATTTTATTTAATAACATACTGTCACTGAAATCAATAAGAATCAGATCCATGCTTATGTTTTTTCATTATCTAAACTCAACCTAATTTTAAAACTATAACTAACAAGAAATCATAGTCACATTATTCACAGACTCAAACAATTATGGCCTTGCTACAACAAATATAACATGCATTATATTTAAATATTTGACTATCTGGTAAAAAGTGTTTTACAAAGTTACAAAAAGAAGAATGTTATTGCCCAGTCAGAGTGGCTCAGTAGTTGAGCATCGACCTATGAACCAGGAGATCATGGTTCAATTCCTGGTCTCCTGGTCAGGGCACATGCCCCAATTTCAGGCTCTATCCCCAGTGTGGGGCATGCAGGAAGCAGCCTATTAATTATTCCATTTCATCATTGATCCTCTCTGAACTCAATAAAAAATATATTTAAAAAAGAAAAGCATTGTTTTTGTAAATATACAGAGAGCTGTATAGCATTGACATTATGAAATGTGAATATTATAGCTCATCAACAATAATTAGGTATTACTCATACCTAGATTTCCCAATTATGTTAACTTTTTTAATGAAATAAACAAAAATCTTCCTGTGATAATAATTTTTAAAAGCAATAAATAAGCAAGAGATAAAGAGAAGAATATACAATGTAAAGGCCTTAGTTTTATAAGCTATTTATCTAAGAGCTCTAATTATTTAAATTCTGTGTCCTACTATATTGAGATGTTTTCCAAGCCAAATGCCTGGTATCCATATTACCTTCATGAAGCATGATCATACTTTGAAGTAGTTAACTAATATACTTTCATTATTGAATATCTCTTTGTCTCTATGTTGACTCATCGCCATCATTAAATCATATATCTCTTCTATGAGTAAATAGGCACAGATTCAAACCATGAAGTCAGCACTCAACTTCACTTGTCACATATCCCCTCTTCTCCGTAGTGATGGTAATAGTTGAAAGACAAAATGTGTTTGATCTACCACAGCAAAGCCTGGAAGATTCTTGTCATAGGATGATGAAAGTCCATTTATTCCCTCTTCCTCCAAAATTAGAGTTTGATGAATTGAAAAGATGGGGGAGAGATAAGTAGAGCTCCTGCAGAATAGGTTCCTCCCAGAGTTTAGGCAACTTTCAGAACTAAAGGGAGTCTTTATTGCTTGTTCACCTGGGGAGTACATGAGAGGCTGCAACCTCACAGAGAAGCCTGGCATATAAAATAGCTTTAGCGTTGCCACGATCGAGAGGGAGACTAAATAGATGTGCCTGAAGGCCGCCTAAAAGGTATCCAAGCACCACAAGATTCTTATGCTTCCCCTTACCTAGGAAGGATATGAAAATTGTTAAGAATAAGCTAGAAGATTTCAAGGAGCCTGACATTAGTTAAGAAGGTCAAACAATGGATGGACTTTTAAGTAGAGCTCATGGCAAGATTAAGAGTGCCAACATATACTGCTGTCTACTAGCAAAGTAACAAATCTAGACCAGTGCAGGTGCACTGGGGACATGAATAAGTGATGGACGGCAATGCATAAGGTTGACCTGAGCAAGAATAACTGCTACACTGTAACAGCAGCTGTGGCCAAAGGCAAGCATCCAGAAGATGTCACGTCATGCTAGGTTAATATGCAAAACTCTATGATTCAAAGAGCTTTTAGAGAAAAGAAGAGTGTGAGAGAGGACTGGTTGATTTGAAGTGAAACACCTAATTGATCATGTTCTATTTCAGATGTGAGAACATTATTTTGAATCTTCCCTTTTAAGGTTTCTGTCATTGGCACAAACAGATGCCAGACATAATTTACCATAAATTATAATGATATGAAAATACTTTGTTCTACACACCAGGGTACTTGTGTGGAATTAATATTTACATTAATATTTACATAATGTAAATTGGACTAGAACTTTGCCCTCCAAGCCAAGTGAGATTATGACCCAGAAACTGCTCTTCACAAACTATTGTGTAATGCCTTACTCTATCCTATACCTCCCACTGTGTTTTTTATTTTGTTTTCAATCCTAGGAATAAAGGGAGGTGTCTACATTTGTCAGGATTTTGTGTGGTTAAATAATAAACATCCATATATAAACTGATTCCACAGTGTCCACTGTGTATCTGTTGCAATTTGAATTTAAAATAATGACTAAAATAACCCCAGAAAATCTCTCTTCACTTTTTGTATTCCCTGGCAATAAATTAATTCGGGAAATGGAGTCAGCTGAAGAGTTGATGGAAGAGGGAAATCCCTAACTAGGTTTGTGTTTATTCTCCCAGAGATGTTACAGAATACATTTACTTTGATCCCTTCATTTGGCGTACTGCTAGATATTTCAGTGTGGTCGCTTCTGTTCCAGTGGAAATGGCTAGAATTTTGATGTGAAGAGATGTGAGAAAAGTGGAATAAAAATCATTTCTGGCTTGCTGTTTGAACAGAAAAAAATAAATTAGAGGTTCATGAGCTATAAATTAGATAAACTTAGTTTATCTCTATTTCTTTCTTCCCCTTCTTCATTTCTTTACTAGTATTTATTAAACTAATGTTTGAGAACGATTATTCATCTGGTGTGTTTTTAATGGCTATACAGTATCTTAAGGAGTAATAATCACTAAGATGTAAAATAAGTGGAGAAGCCAGTACAGAAAATAGGATATTTGTTACAGAAAATTTCATTGCGGCAAGTTCCACAAACTGTTATTGTTTGGAAATCCTCTAAGGCTTGAACAAACTTTTGTATTTTTGATTATATTTATTTATGCCTGATGCTATACATCCAAAATAGAAAATTAACTTTCATAAAAATATAATTCAATATAAATAGATAATCTTCCTTCTAACCCAATATAGCATCTCAGTGAAGAAACATTGTAATTTGAGGACATACAGGAGAGAGAGCAAGGGAGAAGAAGAGGAGGAGGAAGAAGAAGAAGAAGAAGAAGAAGAAGAAGAAGAAGAAGAAGAAGAAGAAGGAGGAGGAGGAGGAGGAGGAGGAGGAGGAGGAGGAGGAGGAGGAGAAAAGAGGAGGGGGGATGAGGGGAAGGGGGAGGGAGGGGAGAGAGAGAGGGAGGGAGAGGAGGGAAAAAAGAGAAATGGTTAATATTGAAACCCACCTAAGAGTATAACAATGCACAGCAGGATTGCAATCAAAGCCCCAGTGCTAAGTCCTACAGGTAGAAAAATTGCTTCCACATTACAAGACAGGATGGTACCATCAGAGTCACATCTACAAACTCGAATAGTCATTGTGCTAGTGCTGCTCTGGACAGGATAGCTGCTGTCTTCTATCACAACAGGGAGGAAATACAGCTCTTGTTGCCTCCGGCTGTATCCATTTCTTCTGGCTTCAATTCCAGCTGTGTTGTCTACAAAACATGACATTTATGAAAAGATGGTTACTATGAGCTTCACCTCAAAGTGGATGTCTGCTAAACAGTAAGAAGCTCTTTCTAAATTAATAAAATACATCATATTTTAATTCTTTTGTCATGAAAGATGCCAAAAATTAAATTAATAAAAGTAATCCTTAGGTGAAAAAGAAACATTATTCTTCTCTGGTAAAAGAATTACATTTGCTATTTAGAAAGAGTATAGTATGGTGTACAAAAACAGAAATATATGTGTTTACCTATTTATTATGACATCAAAATCTCATAGAGAAAAAATGCTTCTGTGAATATTTTCTCATATGATAGCAGGACAAATTATTACAAGTATGAATCTGCAAAAGAATCTTACCTTACAACCTATTATTTAAAAACACAACAAATATCAAATTGCTGTTTCAGATTAACACTTGATTTTCCCCCCAACAAATTATGTCTAAATATAAACTTTAAAATTTGAATGTTAGAGTAACATCTAGGAAAATAAAGTGTGTTAATACCATTAAGATTCATAAAATTTTTAAAATACCACCATGAATTACAATAATCACCATTTTAATTACAAAAAAATATTTTATTTTTCATAAAATCAATAATAGCCATATTTACTTGAAATAGTCCAAGACAATAGCATTCTAAATATTTCATGTACTGCTACCTGGAATTTTGTATTTCTCACATTGGATTTCCATATTTATGTATTGAAGTGCTTTTAGGAAAAGTATTGATGTTCTTCTTTGTGTCCTTTTACAAAGTTCCATGGTAACAGGTAAATTTTTATGTGGTACTTACTTCTGAAGTCACGGACTGTAAAATTTGGTTTGATGGCAGCTTCAGGTGATACTCTAAAGGAGAATTGCTGCCCAGCGGGGGAAAGATCTCGGTCAGCAGCGCTGACTAACTGAATGATCTGAAACAAAGTGGAGAGGAAACTTGAAGTCAGTCGTCAGTTTCAAAGGGAATTTTACATTCCAGGCTAAAAGGTTTATTTAATGAGGCAAGCAAGTAGACAGAATTGACACATTGAGGATTCATATCAGTAAATCAATTATTTACAAATAATTTTAATGTACAAATATGTAAACATTGATAGCGTATGGGTTCGCTCCAAATCAATATCTGCATAACTCAAAAGCTTAATAGCATTGTACTCACCAGTAGGCAAAATAAAATTAAAATGTACTTACTTGCATTTTAAATTAGATGAAATAAGTGCTTTTGAACCAAAGTATGAAAATGCTTACTGCAACAAAATCTGTGCGTATTTAAAAACCCTGACATTAGCAAAATTTCAGCATAGTTATTTTGTGAGAATGAGTTTTACTTCATAAATAAATAAAATGATGAGAGAGATAAAAGGATGCACATTTGTTTCTGTTGTTATGTTTGCTGTCCCTCAATGGGTAAAAGTAGATTTTTTTCAGGGTTTTTTTTTTAAAGAAGAAAGCAGTTTTCATCCAGTTTCAAAGATTTTCCCTAAATTGTCCCCATTGGGTTTTATTGTAGTTAAAATTCTGATACTTCATTAAAATGCCTTTAAGAATTTGGAGATTAAAAATTACTTCTAGAGCCCAACTATGAAATTGATAATTCACTTCATAAATAAGCATCTCAGAATGGTTTTGAGGCATTCAGGTATTAATATATCCAATGGCTTTGCATCAGAATGAATTTCAGGAACTTTGTGTGAGAAGGTGGGAGCCTTGTGCTGGCTTTGTGAGAAGGTGGGAGCCTTGTCTGAATCCAAAGAAAGACCTTAGACTTCATCTGAATCCAAAGAAAGACCTTAGATTTTGAATGCCATACCCTGGTCCCAGTGGGCAAAGCATGCATCGTATCTTCTCAGATTGATGACCTTAAACATGTGATTTAATCTACTTTTTGTTTTAATTTCATACTTAAAATCCAATTTTATGATTCTGACAAACCTTCTGATGTAGATGTGTGTGCATACATACACACACACAGACACACATCTGAGACTTGGAGTGTCTGGTGCAGTATCAGTAATTTGTAATTTGACAAACTTGTCCTCTAATGAGAATTCCAGTTCGTTGGTTCAGTGTGAATCAGTTGCAGGATTATCATAAGTGAGACTTTAATTATTCAACACCAAAGGTCAGATCATGGAATGTGGTAATTTAGCCAAAGAACCACCCTATAGGCCCTATAAAACTTTAACTTCACACAAATCCATATGCTCAGATCTAGATCTCATCCATAAAATCTAACTTATTGGAGCACTAATAACTGTTTTTCAAGTTTTGTTTTATTTTCCTTTAACTACTTACAAGTAGCATAATTATTTACTAAATTAAAGGTATGTAACATTAATGCATATCAAGAACATAACTTTTGAATAAAAAAAGTCATTCAACCACCAAAGAGACATGACAATTGGAGCATAACTGTCACTTACTTGGAATTATCACTTGGGAATAAATGCCCTAAGGAAAATAACTCCTGATCCAATATATAAAAATTTACTGGTATACACAGTCTCATCTCTTTCTCTTTTCTGTTTCTTATTTTGATACATACATACATACATACATACATACATATTCTATTATAATTCAGAAAAGATAAATAGTTCCTATGCATAGCTCCTAGGTGAAGGGCAGAATGGCTGAGGTCAAAGCAGAAGATGCTCATGTACTACACTCTCCGCAAACTCAAGAGGCATTTCAGGGTTACGCTTTGGACATAAATGTATCCCAATAGGGCACACAAGCCCAACAGAGAGATATTAGCAAAAGATCCTCCAAGGATACATGTATTTCTCACCAATTTGTCAAGATATTAAAAAATGAAGTTATCTCTAGTAACTTCCACTACTCCCAAATTTTTAAACCCTTTAATTTACTAGGTAAACATAGAAACCTTAAGTAGAGTTCTATTTCCAAAAGGCTTTCATTTAGTGCATTGCAAGTTTCTGATTGATATGAAATAATTAATGTCCCTAATTACTTAAAAATAAAGGATTGACTTTTGGGGATGGGGAGGAGGGATCTGAAAAGTAGAAAATGACTAAGTTAAGGTAAACTTCTTATAACTCCCCAAATAACTAAACCAGGTTGTGTATTTGTATAAACATTTATGCAGCATCTACTATTTCAGACAATAAAACAAGCACTGGGCTCATCCTATGTAAATTGTGGGTACATTTAAGGTGTTTATCACTTGGGAAAATGTGACTAAACTAGTCATGCTGAAATAAAATTAATAGTTTTCCCTCAATTATCAAAAGAAGGATTAGAGCAGCAGCATCCACTAGATGTTTCTGTATTTTCCCTGACCAAAATGACAGCTACTCACCCCACATACAGCTATCACACACTTGAACTAGGGCAAGCATAAGTCAGAACATGGATTTTTTTAAATTTAATAGCCCTATGGTAATGGACATCATAGATTTAAAACTATGAGGCAAATGTCCTATACAGCATAGAAGACAGTCAAAATGAAATAAATACCATAAAAAAGAAATAAATACTATAATAGATTAAAGAATGCCCTTATCTAAAAATACATTCTTTTTAAATATTAAGATTTTTTCAAGTAAAAATTAAAATTTCATATTTTCTTAAAGGAGTAGTTACACTACTTAAAGGTGTTTCAAATATAGAACAAATTAAAGGATATTAACATATTTTTTCTTTTGGAACCAAGGTGCACAGATTGGTTTAGTCAAAATTTTTTTTTCATGAAATACACTTATCTGTTTATGCCTGATAACCATTATTGTATTTTACTCATTCATTCACTCATTCATTCATTTATAATAAGGTAGAAAAAAACCTGGAGGCCCACGATCACCAACATAAATCCGAAGACTTTGACAGAAATTTTCATTACTGTGTGTGTACATATTCATGTATGGTTTTACAACCTAAAGCACATGCATGTAATAGGCCTTTATACACTCTTAATTAACAATATTGATAAGATACCTGTCCTGGTTTGGCATTTTCACACACAGATGTTTCATATGGCACAGCTATTTCTGGTGGAAATTCGTTGACATCTAAGACATTAATCAATATGCTGACTTTGCTGGTTAATAATGTGTTACCTGTTAAAATATAAAAAGAGAAAAGATAATTTAAAAATCTGGTCAGTTATTGCTTATACTGAAAATAGCATATTTTTTTAAATTCAACCTTTATTTGGAATCCCAATGACCCACTGAGGTGTTGTACTGAGTATAAATAAGAAAGAGATGAGTAAATGAGGTACCAATGTTTCATTCTCAGAGAACTACCAGTGCACTACACCAGTGTTTAATCCTGAAACTCACCACCAAAGTAAGGCCAACTTTTAGCTGTTAGTTTATCATGAGGGTCACCATCCTACCAGGGTTAGTTCATAGAACCAATCACCAATAGTAATATTTTTCACTGGATAAAACACACATTTTTTATGTTGTGTCCATATAATTAAAACATTATTGGTTAGAATCACTTACATATTTAAATAACTCTCTCAAAAAGATTCCTCCTGGAAAGAATGATAAATTACAAAGAGAATGAAAGAGAGATGGCTTTTTACAAATAAGGATGTAGAAGTAAATTACTTGCTGATGTCCTGTTTAGTATGACTCAGTTGGTTAGAGTGCTGTGCCATGCACCGAAGGGTCATGGGTTGGATTCCCTGTCAGGGCACATAGCCAGGCTGTGGGTTCAGTCCCTGCTGGGGTGTGTTTGGGAGGCAACTAATCGATGTTTCTCTGTCTCTCTCTCCCTCTCCCTTCCCCTCTCTCTAGAATCAATGAAAAACACATCATACAGTGAGGATTTCCCTCGTACCTTTCGTGTGAAAGTATAATGTCTTGCTTATTTTCCATATTAACATTACAACATGCTATTCTTATTGCTAGTTTACCTTGTTTGATGCCCATCTGATGAATATTTTTTTCTTTGTGAACCTTATGCACTGAACACAAATATATAGCAATAAATAAGTAAATAAATACATAAGTAGTAAAATGTCACTGGTACTTTTATATTCATTATAAGTATAAATTTGTTGAAAAAATAAATGTTATGATATAAATATTTTCACTTAAGGTGTAACATTTATTTCACACAAGTACAAAGCCAATCAATTTATTTATTAATTATGAACATATCCATTTGTTGCAGAGTATGACATCCTGGGCATAAGAGACATATATGATGATGTCCTTAATATTAAGAACTTCATACCTGAGAAGATCGCTAAGTTTTTTGAGATCATCTATTTTACAAGTGAATAAAATAAAATATAGTGCATGATGTCAATAAATTTTCCATGTAAAAATGTTGCCTAGTTTTGCATTCAATTTTTGGCATGTGATGTTTAAGAGGAATTTTCTGTATATACCCTTTTATTTAAATCCAAATTTCAACCTTCAGGTGAAAAGCTCATCATGTAGTTTAATTTCCTAAGAAAATTGGATACTAATTAAGAAAAAGAAAAATAAGAGTAGCATTACCGTTGTGTATGTGATTTTGATGGAGCAATTATACTGATTTAAAGTACTGTTGCAGTTTAATTAGGGTAGTATACCATAAGCAGTTGAGTAAGTCTAAAATAAAATATAGGTATTACAACATAAATTTGAATTCCATTATATTTACACAGCATATAATAGTGAAGAAAAATGATATCATTTCTAAATTAAGTTTATGATTATACTGGTGTTAATGATTATTATTTCCATGTAAATGATACATTGCAAGACTTTATGAAATGGTATGAACTTTTACCGTTATATAAATTATATAAATGAAGTGATTCTCTCTTCAAAGTGTTACTCTTACAAGTACTACTGAAATGTTGCCAATACTGTACTAGTATAAATCAAACTTCCCTTTCTTTGAAAATACAAAATAGTTTCATATAGTTACTTGGGGGGGGGGGAATTACAGAACAGTAGATAAAAAACCTAGACTCACGTGTAAAGTAAGGTATCTATGAAAAGAAAGAGAGGGCAATTATTTGAGCAATAGAAGGGAAAAAATAACTTCAATCTATAATTAAAATAAATGGTTATATTAAGTTCTCAAAAGTCATCTGCACTCTAAGAGTAACTATTTATATGACTGATTCCACTGTTTTGCTCCCTAGTCATAATCTTTTGCAACCTCCACCTGGAGGTTATATGAGAGCACACTTAAATCTGAAGTCTCTATAATTCAGCATAATTTGCATAGTTATAGTTTATTAAAATTCTTTATTTTATTTAACTTCTAACTACTTCTAAACTTTACTATTCTCAATAGTAGACTTCAGTCTTAGTTTTCCATAACCCAAAATAAATAGTGCTTTGCATGTAATATGATATTGTATGAAAGTTTATAAAAACAAATGTATAAATTAATGTTGAGCCTGAAATATAGTAAGCCTAAAGTTTGATTTTTCTGTACATATGAAAATCATATCACTTGCATTATGTTGAATTAAAAAGAATTTATAACAAAATAGATTTATATGCCAAATAGACTTAAAAATTAATTAACTAACAATGTAATCACAACTCATAATGATATGTATACATAGAAAATTTCCTCCAAATATAGTATTTCCTAAGTCAATTCACTGATTTTTGACCCATTTCACAATAACTGGAAATAATCCATTATCATCCAGATAATTACATGACTAAGAAAAGAATTATCTTTGGTATCATGTTTATTTTACAATTATATAAAACATGTTCTAGGGTTCTAATGTAGTTATTCTTAGTTATTTTCCCTAATTACATGTATTACAGTAATAGCAAAATAAAATAGAAATATTTTCATGTTGAAAATTTCTGATAATTTGAATGAAGTGAATTTTTGGAGCTTCTGTCTCTTTAAAAAGTCTCAAGATTAGCATCATAAAAACAGCAAAGTAGTAATGCATAAAAGAATTACTAGAACTCTAATAAAATTATTTGGATCCCCAACTATAGCAACACTGATTAATGACTGCTTTTTAATTAATTGGAAGTTGTTCAATCATTGTACCATTTCATTTCACCTGAGAGTTTTTATAGAAGATACAGGGACCAACATATGCTAGTTCAATCTGCAATAAGGTATATTTATACAATTTTGTTCTTCTTGGCAGGGCAAGTATGGGCTATTTATTTCTCAGTCATTCAGTATGATGATAGTTTTCTGCTCAGCTGGCTAGTTCAATCAATGAAAATAGTCTTATGCATAAGAATATGAATAAAGTTTACTTTTAAACTCTGTGAATTCAAGCAAAATAAAGCCCAGAATAAGCTATTCTTTTTCTTCTTCTTTTTTTAAATCCTCACCTGAGGATGATTTCTAGAGAGAATAGAAGGGAGGGGGGAGGGGGAGAGAAGGAGAAACATCAACGTGAGAGAGACACATTGATTGGTTGCCTTCTGCATGGCCTTGACCAGGGGTGGGGAACCTGCAACTGAGGTACATGCCCTTGACCTGGAGGCTGTGGGCCAACATGCTAACCACTGAGAAAAACTGGCCAGAGCCACAGTAAGCTCTTCTTATTGCAGAATATTTAATTAATGCAGGGTATGTGTTTAGCCTCTTTATTTTTCACACAGACATATAGTGTTTACCCCAGCAGACTTATCAAGGGTTCTAAAATCCATCCACACAGTGGTGTTTAAATAAATACTAGACTAGACCAGGGATTTTAGAAATGTTAGCTTACTCCTATATTCTGTATAGATAGATAGATAGATAGATAGATAGATAGATAGATAGATAGATAGATAGATCGATCGATTATGGGTCTAAGTCACAGTTCTGCATATGTTCCATAAGGGCCAACATAATTTATGACACTCCACACACTTAATTTTCATTTAAGTAAATACTAACTCAGTGGGCCAGCATGTGCCCTAATTATATTAATAATATTAAAAATAGCATTCCCTAAGTTTGAAAATTCTAAATCTTTGAGGATCAATGTCCCTTGCTTCCACTATAAGGATCCATAGTCTTCCATTCCCCAAATAGTTGAAGCTCAAAACTCTGATTTAGGTGCCAGACATGATCCTACAAGTGCCTTATAGCATGACGATGGTTTTATGGCCTGGGTAGCCATTGGGAAGAAAGACATCCTCTAGAGCTACAATACAGGTGATCAATGCACCATCCACACTTTCACCTGGAGTTAAGGTACAGGGCCTACTACTCCTACTTCAAAAAACATGCACAAGTTTTGTGTGTGCATTTATATGAAGGTTTAGGTTAGATTGGACAGTATTCTAATAATAATCTATGGATACTATGGCTTTGATGAATAGAAGAGACTGCCTCTGGTCAGCTGTCACTATGTCCAAGTCCTATACTCAATATCTTAGACAACTCATTTTCACTATATTGCCAAACATCTTAGGAAACAAAAGCTAATGTACAACATGGTTAAACTGCCCCCAACATTCTGGATGAATGAAATAATTGAAAGTTAGCATGAAAGGAATGCAGAATAGCATATGTAACTGTGACAGGACGTGATACTGGAGGGAGGAAAGATGACAAGTGTGAAAGGAGGTTTCAGGAAAACAAAGAGGATGGGGGCGGGGACTCCAAAGGGGAGACTGGTGGTCTGTTCTGCTGATAATATCTCTGTGCAGACTGGATCATCTGTGTTCAGAGCCTAACTGAGCAAGGAGGGCAGGAGATGGCAGAAGAAGGATGCAGTAGAAGAGTAGCCTGTAATGTGCCTACTTAGCATGACAAAGATGTGTGAATTTCCTCAGGGTCAAGTTAGTACAGCAGAAAGGAGCTGAAATTGAAAAATTATGCTATTAAATCACCAAAGAAGACTGCCTGTTCCACAAGGGGGAATTAAAAGGCTGTAAGGTCTTCTGCTGGTGGCCATAATCAAGTTCCTATGCAGGTGGAATGAGAGATGCTCCCTTCCCTCCAACCACCACCAGCAGCATTAACTAACTAAAATAATCACAGAAGACAGTATTTGGGCAACTGTCAACTGCCAATCCATTTTAATCATAGATGCAGTGGCAACCAAACACTATATGGGGACAGATAAGGGAGATTTGTGCATTTTTATCTCCCTCTTTTCCACTCTAACGGACTAGAGAATCTATTCCCACAAGCAAAGAATCACGGCTCTAATTTATAGTGTCATTGAATTCTGCCGTTATCTATCTGCTGCGTAAAACAAATGGTCCCAACGTGTAGTTGCTTGAAATAATTACTCTCACAATTGTGTGGGTAAGAATCTGGGCAGGCTTTGGCTGGGTAATAGATTGCATTTCACATGGTAGCGACAGCAGTTACGTTGCGGTATTCAGCTAGCAAGTGGCCCGGACTAGAGGTTCCAGGTTTCACTCACACTTCCAGAACACTGGCAGGTATGGTTAGAAGGCGGAGCTGACCTTGGATGGTCAGCCTGAGCACCGGCACGGCACGTGGCCTCTCTAGTGTGGTAGCCTCAGGGTAGCCAGTCTTCTCCCATGACAGGTCACTGTTCCAAGGTACAAGGCAGAAGCTACATTGACGTTTCTGTTAGGCTTACCTTTAGTAATCAGAATAACCTGAAGGGAAGGAAATGTGCTAAAGACCTCACCAAGGCCTGGGAAAAGGTGTCTGATTATTCATATTTTGAAGCAGTTGCTGAAGATAAACAAAACTGTTTCTTATTTACCCCCCAGTGAGTTGAGATTGATCAAAAACCCCTCAAACAGAAACATTCACAGCCAGCTCCTCTCCCACACACACACCTGAGAGGTGAAATTAGCTGCCAAAGTATTTGTATCACATGCACAAAATTAAATAGGCCTGAAACAAAATGAACGATACTCAGAAGGGATTTCTCCAAATCTTTCAAGAGATCATAGGCAGATGGACTGGAAAGATACACTTTTGTTGCAAATGGCTGTACTGATAGCCAGATGGCACCACACACACCTGATCTGTTACCTTAGGACGTTGTGACAATACCCTTGATCATCCAGCCAAAGAAGACCTATAATCACTCAGTCCTGGGAATTCTCTTCTGGACCAGGCAGGAATCAAAACAAGTAATCATTTGTAACCATCCCATAGATTCTGAGTGACTCCTTGAAGAAGAATACTTAAAACTCCTGTGTATTCCACAGTGATATTCATTTTAAAATTAGATTCTAATGAAAGCAGAGAGAAGGAAGAGGGGTGATTTTTAAAATGCAGTCTTCAATTTCAGAAAATATTTCAGAATGGGTGATTTTATAATTACTTCCTCCTGCCTGGCCAGTGAAGCTCCCAATCATAGGGGGATCTGATGTAGAAGAGAAGTGGGGGGTCTGGTGGGATTTTGAGGGTGCAGCGGGGAAGGGATGAGGTCACACAATGAAATGCAGCACTGGATATTCATGCAATCCTGCAAACAGGGCTCGCTGGCAGCTGTCACAACCTCTCCGGACTGACGCCCTGAGGGAAAGGAACAGGTTTCGGAGTTTCCCCAGGAGACCACTCAGCTGTCAGTCCAAAAATGAAAAACACCTCAGCAGGGACTCGTTTAAGAGTGTTAAATCCAAAAGCTGCAGTATAACATCGAGTCCGTCTATGCCATACTTACTAACTTTACGCGCAATTATGGAGAAATTATACTGTGCCGTGCTTTCTCTATCTAGCAATTCATTAGTGGCGATGGTTCCTTCGGTTCCATCGATTGTAAAGTAGCTGTCCCCATCACTCTTCCAGTCTATGAAGTACCTGTATATAAAAAGGAGGAGATGCAAATGCACAATGATTACACATTAATCATAACGGCAGTCAGGCTAACTTGACACAGTTCCTTATTTTTTCTCCCTGTAGCTATTACCCACCTTGCAATAAAGAAGAGTGTAAATGACAGCTTCTTTATTGCAAAGTCAGTATGCTCAAGGGGAAAGGGGAAATAATGAAAGATTTAGTGCTCCTGCTGTTCATATTATTTTAGGGTCTTGACACCTTGAAAGCTCAGCAGAGACTAAAATTCTGAAGCTGACCATGGGTTTCCTTAACCTGCTGAATATTAAAACCTTTTTGAGCAGTAAAAAATCCCTTAATGGCGGCTTTGGGAAGAGCTGGGGGTGGGAGAGACATCTGGAAACAGCTGCAAAGAACTTCGGCCAGAGCAGAAGTAGAATCTTTGTATTCACAGATAGGGAAAAGGGCATCATATTAAGGAAATTGAGGGGACATTTTTAAACTGACAATGTGGTAAATGCACAGAAATCTTTCCCCCAAAGACATATAAAAGGGCCATTGTTGTTTATTGTTCTATAAATCTGGACACCTTTAAAAAAAACAGTGACCTTGGTTAATACTGTCTTTTTTTATCTTCTTTATTAGCTAATCTTCTTGGTAATAACAGACACTGCCATTTTAGCTACTGGACTAAAAAATCCAAGAAAAAACAAAACAAAAAACAGACATTGAATTTATATAAATCTTCAGGTAATGAGAGAAATATAGTGGCGTGCACACACACACACACACACATATATGCATATGTATGCATATATATGTATATATAATTATATTCAAACATATATTTTCAATCATAATAATAAACATTTTGAAATTTTACCATGTACTTGACATGTTCCAAATATCTATGTATGTTTATTTATTAAAACCCCACAAAAGCCCTAAAAGTGAGTATTATTAATCTTCCCACTTCAGAGTCCAGAGTGCATGGAGACATTAAGAAATTCTCCCAAGTTCACCTAGTTAGAAAGTTTTAGAGCTAATATTTGAACAAGGTCATCAATGTTTTTCCACCTAGTTAGAAAGTTTTAGAGCTGATATTTGAAACAGGTCATCAATGTTTTTCCTTATAATTATTATTATATAGTAGTACCAATTTTAAACATATATTTATCACCATTATTCAGGCCAGCTGAATCAAGGCAAGGCCACTACAAACCATGGGTGAAAGCAGATGACATCTTCGTAATTAGCCCATCTAAATCACCAGGCCAAAGGCAGTGATCTATTTGTTCATCAGAGTAAGTTAAGGTATCTATTTCAAAATAGCAGACAAGCTGGTCATTGGAAACTAGGGCAGTTTGGATGTCATCTTAGTGCTAAATCAAAATTACTTTGCCTTTCTACCGTACATGAGATTCATAATTCTTGTCAATATTTATTAGAAACTGATTTCTGAACCAGAAGATAGCTGAGACTTATAGGATCAGGGTAGGAGTCATGCTGTGAATCTGCCTTTGATAATTCTCTTGTTGATTTGAGGGGTGAGAATGCATTGATGTCTAATGATATCAATGTTGTATCCTGTCTCATAAGAATGTTCTCAAAAACCATAAATGAAGTTAAGGCACATTTGAAAGTCAGGGAGCACAGGGTACAATGAGTTTAATTCTCTCTACCACATAATCTTTTCTGGAGAAGAGAGCATTTCTCACCGCAGCCCTTTTCAGAACCTTTACTCAGTAGGGTCCATGCCTAAATTAAGAAGAAAATTGCTACGGAATCTCTTTCGTGACTACAGCATTTTTGGAAGAATGTTGGTGTAGATTGTGTTCATTTGTACAATTTAGCAAATATTTGCTCAGTGTCCACTATGTTTTAGACCCCATACTAGGATTGAGGCATATTATTTTAATAAAGTACAATCCCACCAATGAAGAGTCTTGTTGGGCAGACACATATAAACAGATTTCAACATCTGCTAGAAGAACAAAGAAGACATTAGAGAGTGCAAAGAAAAGACATGCAGTTCAAGCCTACTGGTTCATACAGACTTTCCTGCAGGTGATGTTTGGCTGATATTGGAAGATGGTAAAGGAATTTTTGAGGAGAAGAGTGAGGAAGACAAAGTGAGGAGAGGAAGAAAGGTTTTTCAGGAAGTTTCAAAAGGAGTTTAGCAAAGCCATGGAGTTTGTGTTAGGAAACTGCCTACAAGTTGTTGGGAATTATGGAAACATCTGAGAGGCACAATAACTTGAAAAAAGGTAAGTGATTTAAGTCATGAGTTATAATAAGGAGATGGGCTATGAAGACTATCAAAGGGTATAATTAGGGTATGGATTAAAAGTTAATCACATTTATCATGGTTATATTTATTTTATTTTTTTTCCATTATTCAACTGTGTTTTAAAGATTTGTGAAAATTTAAAATACTGGTAAAATCCAGTATGGAGAAATGGGCAGTGCCGCTGTTTTGTTCCATGCCATTTTGTTACAACATTGATGAGAAAACAGAATTGATGCCGGCAAGGGCCATGTGTGTGGGGAGCGTGTACTTCTCTCCCTGCCTGTATGGGTTTTCTCTAGGTGCTCTGGTTCCCCCCCACCAGAAGATGTGCATATGAGTTGAATTGGCCTGTCTAAATTGTCCCAATCAGAAGGAATGTAGGTATGTTGTGAGTGCCTTTGTGATGGAAAGGTGTCCTGTTCAGTGTCGGGTGTATTTTAAGGGGACCAGACTGTAAGCATTTCCTGTATACCAGAATCTTGCTGAGAGACAAGGGTATAAAGGGCTGTAAAGAGATTTGATTCAATGGGTTATGAGAAGTACTTGAAATAACTAGGGATATGCCGGCTGAAAGAAGGAGACACAAGGACATGCCAGCTGCCTTTGACTTCATAAGGATGCTGACATAAAGCAGGTGTTAATTTACTCATCACATTCCAGTGGAATAGAGATAAGACAGGGGCATTGAATCTATAGAAATTATTCAGATAAATGTAACAAAGACAAGTCAGAGCTGCCCAAGGTCATAACGAGTATCCTCAGGGAACAGTAAGCACCATGAGTAATGAGAAATTGACCATCCAAATGCTTGGTGCAGAGGGAGTAGAACAAATTTAAACATGGTTGGAGATTCTGAAAGTACTTGACAATGCTGATATGCTATTACTATTACCCACATAGAATGAAACCTATCTCTCTTTCTTTGCATGGAATGCAATGCTTTTTTTAAAAATTAAATATTTTTATTGATTTCAGAGAGAAAGGGAGGAGAGAGAGTGAGAAACATCAATGATGAAAGAGTGTCATTGATTGGCTACCTCTTGCACACCCCCTACTGGGGATGGAGCCCGCAACCCAGGCATGTGCCCTTGACGGGAATCGAACCCGGGACCCTTCAATCTGCAAGCCGATGCTCTGTGCACTGGGCCAAACCAGTTAGGGCACAATACTTTTCTATTACTGTTTCCTACCAGCAATCTTGTTCTGACTGCTACAAACATACTCTACTCCAAGCACTCCAATAAATTATCACTTTACAAACATAAAATTATTTTTTTCATAACCTATTTCAATAATATCTATAGTCACATACATATAATTCCATCATTTAACCCAAATAATTAAATCATTTTGGCATATTTAACAAAGTTGTGCAACAATGCAGTAGTTTTTTTTAATTTAAACTTATTAGTTCACATATTTTTCATTTAATGGGGTAAGCTCCAATTATTTGAAAATTTCACTTGTATGAGACAAAAGTTGTGATGTGTGGTGTTAGGATCTTATATTTCTTCTATATTTACTTTATTTTTCAATAAGTAAATATTTCTAGTATAATATTAATTATTTCTATAATTTTTACTACATTTTTGAATTATTTTCTTAGTGTCTCCTCTGGGTTTTATCATATAAAGCTTAACATCGTATTCTTATTCATATTAGCTTAATTCTAGTCAAATACAGAAATTTTATTTCTATGTAGCTATGTTCTATTAAGTATATATATATATATATATACACATATGTTTACATATATTTTATCTATATTACATCTATATATTCAAAAGCCCAATAAAACATTGTTATAATTATTGCCGTTTATAATTTTATGTCTATTAAAGCTAAAAAAATAAAGAAAAGCAAGTATCTTCAGAAGATCTTCTGAGTTCTCTATTCTTTTTTTAAATACAGATTTTTATTGATTTCAGAGAGGAAGGGAGAGGGAGAGAGAGAGAGATAGAAACATCAATGATGAGAGAGAATCACTGATGGGCTGCCTCCTGCACACCCCACCCTGCAACCCAGGCATGTTGCCTCACCGGGAATCGAACTGCATGAACCTCCTGGTTCATAGGTCGATGTTCAACCACTAAGCCACACTAGCTAGGCTGAATTTTCTATTCTTATGTTCATCTTATAACCCTGGGAAATTCTCTGAATCACTGTCCAGGCATGGGTGAAGGCAGAGGGTGATCTCATTTAGCAAAATGGAGTGAGTGATTGGACCCCATATCATTTGCCTGCCAGGGGTAGAGCTTGTGTCCTTCCAGCAGGGTTGGGTGGGGGAAGTGAGCAGCCCACCTCCCAAGGAATTTGTCCTCTGAGACTCAGAGTTGGGGGGATGAGAAACCCTGCCCCTCAGGTAAGATGTTACATCTCATTGGGAGTTGAGGGCAGAGGAGTCATGTTTTCTCAACCACATCAGGCCAGAGTGGGTTCTCTGTCCAGCTGAGTTGGGAGATGGGAGTGGGAGGCAGGGCTCAGGCCCTGTGTCATGTGCCACAGTCTCCTGCCATTCTTAAAATGTTTCAGTAGATTTTCTTCAGTAAATATTTCTTCCATTTACTATATGCTTTTAGAAAATTTCCAGGGACAGTAAATGGTAGATTTTTATTTTTTAAATAATTTTAAAAATATAATTTTCACCATTTATGTTTGTTTCACTGGGAAGTGTCTGAAAAATAACATCCCAGATCTTTGGCAACACAGAGATGAATAAAGCTAGGAAATTCAA